ATGTTTTGGTTTTTACATCGCCTTGTTTAAAATCTTAACCCTCTCACTGTGTCTGATAAAATCAGATTATCCGAGGAGAATCAGAAACCAAGTCACAAATTATTAATTGGCTTACTCCCCTGTGCAGTGTTAATGTTTTAAAGAAAGGGAAATATTTTTAAATTGTGAATTAAAGTAAAGCAGTAATTATGCAGAATTAGGAGTTGACACAACTCAAACTTAAGCATGTGTTTTTTCAAATCAGGACTTAATGAGGATTTTTTGTTGTTTTGCTATGAAGGAGGAAGATATAAATATAAACGACCTGAAACTGGAAATCCTTTGCAAAGCTCTTCAGAGAGATAAGTAAGTTCTCGCGGCGTGAATCTGAGATACGCTTTAGGGATATTATATCGTACATCAAGTAATGTTGTGGCCTAATTGTGTATACACTATTATGAAAATAGTAATGGTTGCATTAGTCATCTTAACTTTTTCATTAAATAATTAAGGCATAGCTTAAGAATTTAGGAACACTGGTACAATTTTCCTTTAAAATTTAGACTGTCAGTTTACATGAAAATACATGCTCCTTATTTTCACAGAAGTATGGCCAGTTCTCCAAAACGACCTGAGGCTACTTTTTTTTCTTTTTTAATGAGCGGTTATTACAGTTTGAGGCTCGGGGCCCTCTAGGTGATGGAGACCTGGTTGCACATCCCTCTCCGCCTGGCACAGCGGCACTTTGACCCCGGGATGGTGGGGTGGATGGTGGCAGGGACAGACTCAGAGTAACCAGCTGTGGGGATGGATGCTCCCAGAAAGAGAGTTTTTAAAGGAGCAGGATTGGTGCTGCCCCAGCTCCCCTTTCCTGTGGTGGTGAGAGCGGCAGCAGAACTATTTTTACTGGAGCGTTTCTCCCTCTGATCCCTCCCAGAGAGTGAGAACTGTTGTCACACTTGGTCTTGGAGGTCGGCCTCGGAAGCATCTCGCTCTGCCTACCTCATTCTCCTTCCTGATCGTCACTAAACACCTGTCATTTGGCCGCAGTTCCTGGCTTTTTGTTTGTCACGTTGGGTAAATCCATTGATTACTCATTACCTAGCAGTGTTCCTGTGTTGGAATTTCATGGTGGATAAGCTCCACCAGATAAAGCAGACTTCCATACCAGGCACCGGTTCCCTAGTTGCCCTTTTATGAAACCTGAACGTCCATGTGAACGGTAACTGGCCTGTGCGCTCGAAGCTCATGCTCGGGGTCCTCTCCAGGTTTGTTACGTCTGCACAGAGATCCCCGGGAACGATGCCTCACGACTTGGTATTAACATCAAACACGTAATGGCTGTATTTGGCGAACGGCTTCCTAGATGTGGCTCCTTATACCTAATATAGAGTCTCCGTATCATCAGCATGTAAAGCCCTTTGTTCCCGTCATTTGAAGGAGGATCGCAGGACTCCCCGTTCGCTCTGCCTGCGCCCCACAATCAAAACAAACCCCAGTAGCAGACAGACGTCATTTACGTCACAGACGCCGTGACTTCATTTCCCTTTCGTCCTGATTCTCTTTTCCAGCTGGTCCAGCTCAGATGGTAAAGACGATCCAATTGAAGTATCGAAAGACAGCATCTTTGTGAAAATCTTACAGAAACTTTTGAAAGATGGTGAGTGGCTTGTGAATATCGGACATGAAGCATCGCTCCTCAGTTTTAGAAACTTTAGGACAACGGGGTTTGCCAGGGTGTCAGGTGCCGGGTGGTTTAAGGTTAAACAGTAGCATGTTCAGAACTAAGCGACTTGTTTAAAATGAAGGAAGCATGTGTCAGGTGAGGCCTCCATCCACGTGGGTCCTGGTCACTGCCCTGCGCAGTCTCCGTGCCGGACGGGGAGCGGGAGCAGATGTGGGCTGTGACATTGAAAATCGATAAGATAGAGCGGATCGTTTCCTGTAGTTTTTCACATTGAAAACTGGAAAGTACTGTGATAGTTTTTACAAGTATGATACTATATTATAGAGAAAACGGTTTTATTGAAAGTTTAATGGTGATGAATGTATGTAAATAATTTGTATTTAGCCGAAGCCGGTTTGGCTCAGTGGATAGAGCATCGGCCTGCAGACTGGAAGGTCCAGGGTTCGATTCCGGTCAAGGGCATGTACCTGGGTTGCGGGCACATCCCCAGTAGGAGATGTGCATGAGGCAGCTGATCGATGTTTCTCTCTCATCGGTGTTTCTGACTCTCTATCTCTCTCCCTTCCTCTCTGTAGAAAATCAATAAAATATATTTTTAAAAAAATAAATAATAATTTGTATTTAGCCTGATAGCATTTATTAATCTAGATTTTTATTGTATAACAAATACAAAAAATTGTGCTAAGCGCTTTGAGAGTAGTAAAAAATAGGATTTTGAGAACCTTATGGAAATTAACACGTTATAAAATATTAGTTTAAATATTTTTCTCCAGTTTTCTTTATCAAATGAGAGCATTGGTACCTACTCTCTTGTAACTCCCCAGGCCTCACTGTACACAGTCCCTTCAGTTGGCTCCCTGGCTTCCGGCTCTCCAGGGGGCTGGGGAAGAAATGATCCCCCCCACCACCACCTGATTTTAGATTTAAACTTGAATACATTTGGGGATCCTGTCGCTAGCTTTCAGGAAAGTATTTCTACCACGTTATTTCCAAGTCGGAGGATATTTAATCGTTTCCAGGTGATGGTTACTTTAAGAGAAACACACCTTCCACTTGGAGGAAGGGCTTACGCTGTGGAGGAAAGGAAAGGTCTCATTGAAGACCTAGACCAGCCGTGGGCAAACTACGGCCCGCGGGCCGGATCCGGCCGTTTGAAATGAATAAAACTAAAAAAAAAAAGACTGTACCCTTTTATGTAATGATGTTTACTTTGAATTTATATTAGTTCACACAAACACTCCATCCATGCTTTTGTTCCGGCCCTCTGGTCCAGTTTAAGAACCCATTGTGGCCCTCGAGTCAAAAAGTTTGCCCACCCCTGACCTAGACAGACGGGCTCTTTTGACCACTCGGGGAAAGCGCTCGGGCGAGACCTGCAGATGTGTGACAGATGGAGCAGCTTAAGGCCGGCCTTTCCCAGCAGCCCCCGCGGCAGCACCATCGAAATAGAAGAGCAAGTGTTCGCATCCCCATCACCTGATTCATGGGAGAGTTTCACGACAATAAAAACCGACTCTGTTTGTGTCGCAGGCATTCAGCTCAGCGAGTACCTGCCCGACGTGAATGACCTGCTTCAGGCCGAGCAGCTCGGGGGCCTGAAGGCCAGTCCCTACTTCGCCTTCGTTTTGAAAGCAAATTACGAATATTACGTCCAGGGACAGGGGTGACTTCCGGAAACGGCCGTCATCGCCGGGAATCGGCGACAGCTTCGTGGGAAAACATTGGCCTTAACCATCGGGCTTTCTGTGCCGGCTCACACCCTGTTCCGATGCGCGTTAGACTTTACCTGGAAGCTCCTGAGAGCAGCTGTGACCACCGTCCTGGTTTAGTGACATGGTGTTTCCTCTCCGCCTTTTCCGTCTGAACTGTGTTCGTTGTCCGGGTGCTCGCTGCCCATTCTGTCCCCTCCCTCCGCCCAGAGCGCTGAGCTCCTGCCCTGGTCCCGCTGCATGTGCTCCTGGCGCGTCCAGGCCCCCGTCCCGCGGCCCCGAAGCCGGCGGGCTGTCCTGGCTGTCCCTGAAGCTGCTGTGGCCCCGGGGCGGGGCCCCGAGGGGGGCGGGGCCGGGCGGGG